GGGAGCCCGATGTGGGGCTCGATCCCAGGACCCTGGGATCATGACCTGAGCTGAAGGCAGACGCTTAACGACTGAGCCACCCAGGCGCCCCAACATATTTGATCTTAAGACTATTTTGAAACAATTCTGTTAATATCATGATTCTCAGAGAAATAATACTCTATTTTATGACTGAAGGGAACTTTAGGATGAAGACACAGAAGTTGTATTAAAGTTTTTAGAAATGTTGAAACCATTGTAAAGTTACAGAAAAGTTTTAAGTAGAAATAACTTTTTCCCCTCTTGAATCACTTGAGGATGGGTCACTGACCCGATGATGCCCCATCAACCCAAAATACATCAGCAGATATTTCCAGGAAGCAAGTTTATTTTTCTCCATATGGCCAGCTAAGACATCAAAATCAGGAAACATACATTTCTTCCACTGAAGCCTCGGACCCTCTTCACGTTTGCCTGTGGTCCTGACGGTGACTTTTACAGAGAAAGGAGACCATTGGGAGACACATGCACAGATGCCATCAGCCTGCCCGCTGGGTCCTCAGGGCTTGTGTGACTCTGTGATCCTGGCGTTCGTGGCCACAGACAGCAGCTACGGGCATCCCTCAGTCTGGGTCTGATGCTCCCTGGACTCAGTGGTTCAGGGAAGGGTCTTTGTCAGGAAGACCCTGGACGTGACGCTGCTTCCTTCGCTGCAACTCTCTGGGTGATGCACAACAGCCCCGTGTCCCTGCCGTGAAGGTTCTCTCCTCCCCTTTAAAACGAACAACTATTTTCTAGCTGTCTACTCTATCAATCAAGCTTTCAATTTGTCCGTCTGTCTGAATAGTGAGATGATTTTCTATTTTATCCAGTCTTACCTATCATAATCTTTGATGCTGAAGTCCCCCCAATTTGACCAGTGGGAGCCCCTCCAAAGGACATGTCACCCTCCTACCATGCGCGCTTTCTCGCATGAAAAGACATTCAGGTTCACCTTGTGCATTTCCTGTACCAGCCCTGAAATCGGCCATTTCTTGAGTGAACACTAGCTCATCTGAGAGACTACTGGTATCCACAGTACAGACAGGTGCTGGGCGTTCTCAGCACTCCTGGGGTAGATGCTCCCAGGTCTAGTTTTTAAGCAAGTTTGTCTGGATCTGTTTCTACAGAGGGCTTCAGAAGGAAGAGGTTTATAGTTCTTATGTGTTTATTTTAGCGTTGCAGAGGCAATCTACAGAACACTGTAATTTCAGGACTTCGGAACGAATTTGCAGGAAGGATGCTCATTAGGTAGAGTTTCCTTAGAGCCCCTTTCAAGAGCCCCACCGTGTTCCTGCTGCTACTGGTGCACGTCAAACACTGACTTTCCCGCCGACAGGCAGCCTCTCTGGTGATGTCACGAGGGTTAGGCCTGGCAAGCCCCAGGACGGGAAAGCATCCCATCCACTGGCTTCGGCTCGACTGGTGTCCTTGCCAAGGGACACACAGTCTCCTCCACACACAGCTGGTGGTTCAGGACAGGCTTCCTTCTCAGTTGGCCAAGGGTCACTTGGTCCCTCTGCTGGAATGCCATATTCTAAACTATTTCCCGAGAAAAAAATTTACCCGCGATACTACTGCATTTTACAGTGAGGTAAAAATCATTAAATATTTTAATTGCATTTGCTCTCTCAAAAACTTTAATTGTTCTAATTAGAATGAATTGCAAAAACTCCTTTTTTCCCAAAAGAAATTTTTTTTCAAAAATACAGGACTGGATGGATTTTAATTCCACTATTAAATATTAGGAATGCCTTAGAAGAATTGTTTTCCGAAGTGTATTTAAAGACGCGAGAGAAGACATTACAGACTATTCAGAAGAAAGGAAATCATAACAACTTTCAAATGGTAGCATCGCAGTTTTATACCTATATTAAGGCACAGTCACAAAACCGTATGCATACTTAATGGTTTATGGTTAAATCACGTTGTTTGGTGATTCCTTTAAAATGCCGAATGGAACACAGGGGCAGAAAAAACTAGAAGGAGAGATGAAACAGAACCATCCAAACGTGGTCTGTGGGGAGCTGGATGGTGGGCACGGTGTGTCCTATGGCATTCTCCATACACTTACAGAAGCTTGAAGTGTTAACAACAAATAGTATTCTACCTTCCAAACCAAACTCTGGAAGACTATATGCAAAATGCTAATGGTGAGTATTTCCTGGTGTCATGAGGTGGTATGGTCACTGAAGTCTTCATGTTCTTCATGTTATTTCGTACTCCCTAAAGTTTCTACAGTGAACACGTATGTATCGTCCGAAGAAATGCTAATACATCTCCATGTGTTCACCGTCTCTGCAGACCCTTGCTGAGCCCGCTACCGGCCGGCACTGGGGGCGCTGGGGCTGGGGGGCTGGATTATGGTGGGGTGGGCGGGGTTCTTACGGCGAGCTCCCCGCCTTCCTGCAGCTGACGTTCCTCCCACCCACGAGGGAGAGGCCTGAAGCAGAAGGGAGCCTGAAGTGCCCACCGATTTAATACACATTCCAGGGTGGATAATGGTTAGGATTTAAAGGCAAAGAACCAAAGGCTCAGCCTGGCGTCCTCACTTGGAAACAGGGGTCCCCACCGGGCAGCCTCCCAGAATGAGCCCAGAGTCTCTGGTCTCTGCGGGGCTCAGCAAATGCTGAAGAGCGTGGATAGCACCGCGATGTGCCTGCTCTTCCCGGATCGCGGGGCTGAGGAGGGATGGGACAGCGACCCATCTGTGACTCCACCGCGGGCGGCCCCTTGGGAGGTGGCAGCGCCCCCCCCCGCCCCGACACTGGCATCTCCTCTGCAAATGGTCTAGAAAGGGGGTGCATGACTGATTTGGTCATCATTGCAAAGATGTTCAAGAAGATACTTACCTACAGAGGCACCACAGGACAAACCCAAGTCCACAGTAAGGGTCCAAGCAGATGGCCACTTCTCGAGAAGGGTAGAGCTCACACTGCAGCTTAATGGAACGGCAGAAGGCACTAGTGGCTGCATGGGACATCTGTAAGACAGCAAGGCCACCCTCAGTCCATGCAGCCTGGCCTCCAGTGCCCCAAGGGGACTGCAGGAAGGGGGCTACTGGGCTACGGTTCCTGTCAGTGCTCCCATTTTCAACGACTAAACCACATGCAGCACTTCCTGGGCCTCCAGACCTAGGAATCCTGCAGCTGAAGTAACCGTGTCCTGCAATGCCACCGCGCTGTGAAGAAGGTGGGGACACCCTAGGGCTCGGGGCCCCTCTCCAGGTCGGGATTGCGTCTGACTTACACGTGCCTGTCATGCGATAGGGCCAGTGGGGCACGGTGGACGGACATCCCGTGTCAGTGATCAGGAAACCAGGCTCAGAGGAGGCGGTTTGCTGACGGTCACATGCCCCAGGAACCCCGCTCCCCGCACGACAGAGGTGACAGAAGGGGGGCGCCCACAGCCAGAATCTAACGTGAGTGACTGTAAAATACTGTAAAACGTATCTAATACAAATCAGTTTTCTCACAGAAGCTCTCTAGCCAAGCCAACCTGAGAGGGAAAGGAAAATTTTCCGAGTTTGTGGTTTTAAACATGTCTTCCGTGCATCTGAAGCCGATGGCCCTGGAGCTGAGCTGTGGGAGGGGCGGGAGCGAGCACCCTCACATGCAGGCAGACCCCGCCAAATGTCTGGGGAAAGCACCGTTAGCCACCCCAGCAACGGAGGAGAGAAGCCGGGAGTGGGGGACGCTTGTGTCGTGAACATGGGAGCACTGTTAGACGCTCTGGTGGCAGGTTTCACTGTGGGTACTTCACGGAATTCACAAAAGGTAATACAGAATTACCCCAGAATCAAACACACAAGCGGTTCCTTTTAGTTTGCTGTCAAAGCCACAATATTTGCTTAAAGAAGAAACAATGCTGGATTTATGAAACATTCCTTCAACCTCCTGCCTGCTGGATGGGGAGTTAGTAAAATCCTAACTATCAAAATTACCAAGATTCTCACTAAAATGAACCTTTCCTGAACCCCTAGCTCTGTGCAGGTACTGTTTTTAGCAGGAACAGAGTTCTTCAGCTCAGCTCAGCAAATATTCATTATATTAACTGAGGACATGCTATGTATCAGGCTTTGTATTAGGTGCTCTGAATATAAAAAAGAATAAAACACAGCCTCCAACCCCAGGAGCTTGTGAGCCAGTGGGAAATTGAGAGAGAACTCTGTTAACTGCGGGGCCCATGAGCATTTTAACAACATATGTGGAGAGCAGAGAATGGGTTCTCCCATCGCCCTGGGGCTCATAGAGGACTCTGGGTCTTGAGGGTGAGTAAGCATGAACAAATCTCATCAAAGTGACAAGAACACAGACAGATTAAGAAAAAAGCAACCAGGAAAGCTGAATATCTCATGTCCAAGCTCACAGCAATCTTGGACCCTATCAACATCATAGACCCATAGCCCAAGTTGGAAGAAAAATGCCCAATTCTTATGAAGACAGACTTGTACCTGGATAAGGAATTAGTTTTCCATAAGCCCCAAACAACAAACTCTCATGCTCTACTCTGGAACAGAGACACTGAGAGCAGATGTAGTCAGTTAGAGGACTCAGGGATGAGGGCACCTGTATTTATTTTTAGGATGCACCTTAGGACTTCTCTTGGGAAGGGTTACTTTCGAGTGCAGTATGACTTTGGTTGATGATGAACTAAGTGTCCACGGTCTGGGTGAACATCAGCGGCACACCCCACCTGAGAGTGAGCACCCTCGGTGGAAGGGAGAGCCACCACAGTTCTAAAACATCCTGTGTGGAGGCCCAGAGGGCAATTGATCTGAAGGAAACAGCAGATGCTATATGGGTCCCCCACATGACGTCCTCGTGGACATCGAGCAAATTGTATCCAGGAGCTACCAGGAACTGTCAGAGTTCAAATTACACTTTTGAAGAGTTAGTATTATAAAACTTAAATTGAACATAAAACACATACTCATGGGTCTTACACTAAATCAGACATTACACAGTGCCCATTATGGAGAAAACAGTTTACTGGGTAAACTTCTTTCTCTCAACTTTTGGTATTTCACAGAAGGCTTAATGACATTTCTGTCCAAAGGCTGAAAGTGTATTAACATTTCCAAGAAACATGGTGACAAGTGCAACCAAAGAGGTAGAAGGAATTTCCATCAGGACAGACTATAAACCAGATGATTTCAGCTCTGTTTGTGCCTCTCAGTACTTAAGGCATAGGGGTTTTCATTAAATGACATCACAATAGGTTTCATCTCAGGTACTCGTCAAACAAATTAAATGTCAGAAGTTTAATAAAAACTTCCATAAATTCGAGGGGCACGTGGGTGGCTCAGTCGGTTAAGTGGCCGACTCTTGGTTTTGGGTCAGGTCATGATCTCAGGGTCATGAGATCGAGCCCCACATAGGGATCCATGCTCAGCCTGGAGTCTGCTTGAGATTCTCTTTCTCTCCCTCTGCCCCTCCCCACCCCCCTTGCACGCACTCTCTCGCTCTCTAAAATAAATAAATCTTTAAAAAAGAAAGATTTCATAAGTTTGAGAGAAAGTCTAGTTACTCCTCTCTCTGGAATTCCTAGAGTTTATACTTATATTAAGTGGAATCATCACGAAGTAATAGCATAGATCGCTTTATCTCTGTTTCAAGCAGAAGTATCTTTATCGAATCAAGATGTAACATTATAGCCTCCACCTCTGTAGACCATGAAAACGGTACGGTAGGATCCAAGTGTGTGTTTCCCTTCGGCTACGACCGGAGGCGGTTCCAGGCCACCTTCAGCACTGTGGTAAGTCACTTATCCTGGTCTGAAAAGAAATCTGTACTCTAAAAGGCTTTTGAAGGGGCACCTGGGTGGCACAGTCGGTTAAGTGACAGACTCTTGATTTCGGCTCAGGTCATGATCTCAGGGTCATGAGATCAAGCCCCAGGTTGAGCTCTGCTCAGTGTGGAGCCTCCTTGAGATTGTCTCTCCCCCCTCCCTGCTGGTGCATGCTCTCTCTCTCTCTCAAACAAGTAAGTCTTCAAAAGGCTTTTGAAGAATTATTTTATTTTATATTCCACTTTATTTGGTGGATCAGATTCTACTGGAAAGCAGAGGAGAGGATTCTGGGAAGATGGTCTCCATAGCAACCAGACAACAATTGCGTGGGCAGAAAATGATGCAACTATTTGGAGCTCTGGAGTCTGTTAAGGTTTTTAACTTCCAGAGGAAGGCTTGGGCAATGGCAATTAATTTTGGAAAAATTAAGACATTCCCATTAAAGAAAAAGTTGTGGGCACTCATGACATTTAGATCTGCCATGAAAGGCTCAAGGGAGTCCTACAGGTTGAAACAGAAAGACACTAGATGTAACCTGAAGTCACTGAATAAATTAAGATCTCAGTAAAGGTAAATACAAGGCAATTATAAAAGCTAGTGTAATCCTGGGGCACTTGGGTAGCTCAGCTGGGTAAGCGTCTGACTCCTGATTTCAGCTCAGGTCATGATCTCAGGGTCGTGAGATTGAGCCCCGTGTTGGGCTCCACGCTCAGCAGGGAGTCAGCCTGAGATTCTCTCCCTCTGCCCTTCCCCTCACTTGCTCTCTCTCCTCCCACCTCTAAAATAAATGAACAAGTCTTAAAAAAGCTAGTATAATCATAGCAATACTTTATAACTCTACCCTTCCTTTTCTACGTGATTTAAGAGAATAATACGGTAAAACAAAACAATTATCAGTCGAAAAACTGTTACTGTAACTTTGGGTTTAAATTCCACTTTTTTTCCCTACATAACTTAAGAGACCAATGCTTTTAAAAGAATTATTACTACATATTTTGGGCCACACAGTGTATAAAGATATAACTTTGTGAATCAGCAACTGAGAGAGGTAGAGATGGAGCAGTTTTTTTGTGTCCCTGAAATTAAGTAGGGATAATCCAAACTGGAGAATTACAACTGTAGGCTGCCCAACCCAATCCCCATGGTCACCTCAAAAACAAAACCTGTAGAATATATATGAAAGGAAATGAGAAAGGAATTTGAATGTTTCACTACAAAAAATCAACTAAGCACAAAACAAGATAGTAATGCAGGAAATGAGTAACAGGAAGGTTGTAAGACATATGGAAAATAATGAGCAAGATGACAGAAGTCCCTTCTTTTAAAAAAAAAATAATTTGAGAGAGAGCAAGAGAGCGAGAGTGCGAGTAAGGGGAGGGGCAGAGGGAGAGTGCTGAGCTGAGTGGGGAGCTCAAAACAGGGCTAGATTTCACGACTCTGAGATCATGACCTGAGCCAAAATAAAGAGTCAGACACTTAATCGACTGCACCACCCAGGTACCCTACAGAAGTCCCTTCTTACCAGTAATTAGTGTAATGTAAACAGATTAATTCTCCAAAGACAGAAATTGGCAGAGTGAATAAAATACATAAAATACCATATGGTGCCTACAAGAGACTCATTTTATTTATTTTTTAAAAAGATTTATTTATTTGAGAGAGTGAGAGAGAGAGCAAGAGAGAGAAAGAGAGAGCAAGCATGCAGGGGTGGGGGGCAGAGGGAGAGGGAGACAGAAACTCCAAGCAGACTTTGTGTTCTGTGTGGAGCCCGACACGGGGCTTGATCTCATGACCCTGAGGCCACGACCCCAGCTAAAACCAAGAGTTGGATCCCCAGCCAACTGTGCCACCCAGGCGCCCCCAAGAGATTCATTTTAGATCAAAAGACACAAGTAATTTGAAAGTGAAAGAATGGATAAAGACATTCCATGCAAACAGTAACCAAAAGAGAGCAGAGATAGCTAAACTAATATCAGACATATAGACTTCCAAAAAGGTTGTAAGAGACAGAGAGGGGCATTACATATTAATAAAGGGTTTGGTACAGCAAGAAGATTTAACAATTATAAACAACTACACACCAGACAACAGACTATCAAAACAGATGAATCAAAAATGGACAAAACTAAAAGGAGAAATTGACGTTTCTTCAGTGACAGAGACTTCAATACCCTACTCTCGATAACAGTCAGAACAACCAAAAAGAAGACACATTAAAAAAAAAAAAAAAAAAAAGAGGGGCGCCTGGGTGGAGCAGTCGTTAAGTGTCTGCCTTCGGCTCAGGTCAAGATCCCAGGGTCCTGGGATTGAGCCCTGCATCAGGCTCCCTGCTCTGTGGGGAGTCTGCTTCTCCCTCTCCACTCCCCCTGCTTGTGTTCCCTCTCTCGCTGTGTCTCTCTCTGTCAAATAAATAAATAAAAATCTTAAAAAAAAAAGAAAATAGGAGACTGAACACAATAAACCAAAGAGATCTGAGGGACACAGAGAACACTCCACCACAATGGAATACACACTCTTCTCAAGAACACTTGGGTCATATTCTAGGATAGACCATATTTTAGGCCACAAATTAAGTCTCAATAGATTTAAAAAGATAGATACCATATGAAGTATCTTCTCCAACCACAACAGGATGAAGTTAGGAATTGGTAACAGAAGGAAAACTGGAAAACCCACAATTAAAAAAATGCACTCTTAAATAACCACAAGGAAAATCATAAAATACTTAGACACAAATGCAAATGAAAATACAACATACCAAAGCTTACAGGACACAGCAAAAGCAATGTTAATGCAGAAATTTATATAAACAGGTTAAAAACAAGACAGATCTCACATCAACAACCTAACTTCACAACTTAAGGAATGAGAGACAGAAGAACAGACTAAACCCAAAGCTAGCAAAAGGAAGGAAATAATAAAGATTAGAACGGAGGTAAGCAAATAGAGAGTGGAGAAGTAGTAGAGATAATCAGTAAAAGCAAAAGTTGGTTCTTTGAAATAATCAACAAAACAGACAAACCTTTAGCTAGATGGACTAAGAAAAAAGGAAGAAACACTCAAATTACTAAAATCTGAAATGAAAGTTGGGACATTTACTATAGATTCTACAGAAATGAAATTAATTATAAGAGAGTACTATGAACAACTGTACACCAACACACTGTACAACCAATATGAAATGGAGAAATTGCATTTCATGGAAACTGAAACACAAATTATCAAGCAGGAACACAAAACTTACAAAGACTAAATCATGAAGAATAAAAAGTCTGAATAAACTTACAAACAGTAAGATCAAATCAGTAAAGAAGATTTCCCAACAAAGAAAAGCCCTACACCTGATGACTTCACTGCTAAAATGAACGAAACATTTAAAAATAAACTAATACCAGAGCACCTGGGTGGCTCAGACGGTTGAGCATCTGACTCTTGATTTCAGCTCAGGTCATGATCTCAGGGTTGTGAGATCAAGCCCCAAGTCAGGCTCCATCCTCAGTGGGGAGTCTGCTTGGGATTCTCTTTCTCCCTCTTCCTCTGCCCTTCCCCCCAATATGCACACATACTCTCTCTCTAAAATAAATAAAATTTTTTTTTTAAAGATGAACTAATACCAGTCCTTCTCAAACTTTTCCAAAAAACTGAAGAGAAAGGAACACTTAATTCATTCTGTGAGGTCAGCATAACCCTGATACCAAAGCCAAAGACACTATAAAAACAGAAGACTACAGACCAATATCCCTGCTGAACACTGATGCAAAAATCCTCAACAAAGTACTAACCCAATTTGGTAGCATATTAAAAGGCTTCTATGTCAGTGGGATTTATTCCTGGAAGGCAATGTTGGCTCTACATATGAAAAATCAATCAATAGGGGAACCTGGCTGGCTCAGTTGGAGAAGCACGTGACTCCTGAACTCAGGGTTGTGAGTTTGAGCCCCATATTGGGTGTAAAGATAACTTAAAAATAAAATCTTTAAAAAAATCAATCAATATATCACATTAAAAGAATGAGGGGAAAAAACCCATATGACATCTCAATTGATGTAAAAAAAAAAAAAAGCATCTGATAAAATTCAACAACCTTTTATGATAAAAACACTCAATAGACTAGGAATAGAAAAAAAGGGCCTCAACATAATAAAAGCCATATATGAAGAACACAGAGAACATCATACTCAGCCATGAAAAACTCAAAGCTTTACCTCTACAATCAGGAACAAGGCACCCTTTCTAGTCAACACTGTACTAGAAGTTCTAGCCCAAGCAATTAGGTAAGAAAAATAAATACAAGGCACACAGATTGGAAAGATAGAAGTAAAATAATCTCTGTTCATAGATAAAATGAACTTATATATATATCGAAAACACAAATATTTCACACAAAAATTATTAAAAATCATAAATTCACAGTAGCAGGATAAGAAGTCAGCAAGCAAAAATCACTTGCATTTCTATACATTAAATGAAAAATCTGAAGAGGAAATTAAAACAAGTCTATTTACAATAGCATCAAAGCATAAAATGCTTAGGAATTAACTCAACCAAGGAGGTGAAAGACTTGTACAATGTAAACTATAAAATTTGCCAAAGAAATTGAAGACATAAATAAAAAAAACATATACCATATTCATAGACATCAATACTACCCTAAACAATACAGACTCAATGCAGTCTCTGGGTGTTATTTGCAACTAATGAATCATTGAACATTATACTAAAAACTAATGATGTACTATACATTGGCTAATTGAATTTAAATAAAAAAATTTCAATGGTATTTTTTGTAGAAGTAGAAAATGCATCAAAAACTTCAAACAGAATCTCAAGGAAATCTGAAAAGCCAAGACAATCTTGAAAAGAAATAGAGGACTCACACTTCCTGATTTACTACAAATATACAGTAGTCAAAACAGTGCAGTACTGGCATAAAACCAGATGCATAGATTAATAGAAGAAAATACAGAGCCCAGAACAAAAAAAAAATCCTTGCATTTATGGCCAACTGATTTTTGACAAGGGTGCCAAGAGGGAAGAGACAGTCTTCTCAACAAATGGTGCTGAGAAAATTGGGTCTCTGCATGCAAAAGAATGAGGTTGGACCTTTACCTAAAACCACAGAGAAAAATGAACAATTGGGTCAAAGACAAAAATGTAAGCCCTAAGATAATACAATTCTTGGAAGAAAACATAATACAAAGCTTTATGACACCGTAATTAGGCAATGATTTCTTAGATATGACCAAAGGCATAGGCCAAAAAAAAAAGGACAAAATTGGACTGTATGAAAATTTAAAAATTTTGTGCATCAAAAGACACTATCTACAGAGTAAGAAGGCAATCCACAGAATAGGAGAAAATTCAGGGTTTAATATCCAGAATATACAGAGAATTTGTAAGACTCAACAACAACAACAACAACAAAAAACAAGAAACTTGATTCAAAGGATTTGGATAGATATTTCTCCAAAGAAGATGTACAAATGGCCATTAATTGCATGAAAAGATGCTTAACATCACTAATCATTAGGAAAGTACAAATCAAAAAACCACAATGAGATACCACTGCACACTCATTAGAATGGCTACTATTGAAACAACAACAACAAAAAACCAGAAAACTCTAAGAGCTGACAAGGATGAGGGAAGGTGAAATGGTATGGCCACCATGGAAAACAGCATGGCAATTCCCTCCTGGGATTAAAAATGGAATGGCCATATGACCCCAAATTCCACTTCTTGGCATATACCCAGAAGACGTGAAAGCAGTGTGTTGAGAGGCTTGCACATCTTTGTTCACAGCAGCATCGCTTACAAGAGCTAACCTTGGAAGCAGCCCTACTGTTCGCTGACAGATGAACGCAAAGGCCAAACGTCAATGAAATGTTAACTTAGCCTTAAAAAGGAATTCTGAGCCCCTCGACAACATGGATGAACCCCGGGACATTACAGTACGTTTAACGAGCCAGTCACAAAAGGACAGCGCTGCAGGACTCCACCTCTATGGGGTCCCCAGAGTTGTCAAAATCCCAGAGACAGAAGGGAGATGGTGGGTGCTGGTGGAGGGGATGGGGGCTCTTGATTAACAGGTAGTAAGTTTCAGTTTCACAAGACGCGGTGAGTTATGGGGGCGGATGGTAGGGACAGCTCCACAACAGTGTGAGTGTTTTTAATGCTCCTGAACCGTATACTTAGGTCGGTTATTAAGGTGAATTTATGTTAAGTGTATTTAACAGTTAAAAAAATTGAAAAAAAAAAAAAGTAGAGAAAGAGAACTGAGGTAAATGACACAAACAGAGGGGTCAGACCCCGAGGGCGGGCCAAGGGCTTCCTGAGGCTACAGAAGACGTACCAGTCCCTTGACAGGGACATTGCCCGAGCCCTGAGGGTCCTCACGAGGTGAAGCACACTGCAGGGCACACCCCTGAATGACACGGGATTGTGAGCGCCGGTCCCCTTGCACACTGGTTTTTTATAGGGCAGGACTGTAAACATTTCTTCTCTCCCTCGTGACTTTCTCAACAGGATTTTCTTTTCTCCAGCTTACTTTACTGTGAGAATACAGTATGTAATACATAGAACACACAAAATAGGTGTTAATGGATTGTTTATGTCACTGGTAAGATTTCCAGGAGGCTGTAAGTAGCTAAGTTTTGGGAGACTCAAAAGTCATACGCAGATTTTTGACTGCACAGGGGTGGGGGTGCTCCTAACCCCTCCCCCCCGAGTTGTTCAAGGGTCAACTGCAGCTCCATTCTTTGGTATGAACAAGGGTCAGTGGACAGCCAGCCAGGATGGAACCCAAGCTGAAAAGGGAAGAAACCCCAGTGCACCGAGTTTTATAACAGAGCACTGGGATTTGAGAACCAGCAAGGAAGAAAGACATGCAACTCTTTACTAGGGGCTAATGAGGCTGTGTTTACATACAAAAAAAACAGTTGGACTGTGTGGAAAGAATCGGCCAGCCTAGGTCACCATGGAAATGGTCACGCATCTTACAGTCTCAGGAAGGGCAGGGACGCACCCCTCCCACGTGCCCCTTCAAGTGCCTGCTAGAGTCCCACTCTACATAAGAACGTCAAGGGACAGCCCCGCATGGCTCGTAACCGCACACCGTGCAGACCATGTTTCTCACCTTCACTCCAGCAAGCATCCCGGTCGTGGACACGCTGAAGTCGAGATAAGCTAGCGTGTCTGGGTTGGAAGGTTTGTAGATCTGGGCGGGCCGCTTCTTTGGCAAATCATCTGGAGCAAAACAAAGCCGTTAGCGTATCTGACCCAGTGGGAAAGCAGAGGCACACAAGAACATCTCTGGCAGGTTCGAGGACTGACCTGTGTCCAGGATGGGGGGCCACGCCCTGACGTCTACGGCCGCAGCTGCCTCCCTGGACCGTAACAACTTACAGATGAGCTGTGTTGTCATCAAGCAGGCAGAACGACTCACCTGCCGGTCAGAGAACACGCCGCTCACTACGCAGCACCCCGAGGCCATTGGCCCTCACAGCCCGCAGAGCCGGTGTCAGCCACCAGAGGCAGGACAGAGCCAGGAACTGACCACAGCACACAGAGCTCATGGACACTGTGGTCCCTGGCATTTCTGGAGCTGAGGGACACCCATGACGCACATGCTCAGAAAGGAGCACCCCAACCACCGTGCTCACGGTTAGCTCTGTCCTATAAAAGCTGCCCCGGGTACCCACTTACATGATCGCTACCTCCTAAAGGGAGTAACGGCCTCGGCCATCTTCCAACATCACCACTGAAAGAATTTGCATGTGCTGTCCCCAGACTAAGCTGTCCCTCCGCCAAGGGGAAAAACTTCTCCTAATCCTTCTAAACTTCCCCAAGCATAAGAACAATTAAAATAAATCCGTGCTTTAAAAAAGGAATGGGACATTTCTAAACCTTGAGCAAAGAAATTAAAAAAAATATATGACTTTTGGGGCACCTGGCCAGCTCAGTGAGAGGAGTGTGTGACTCTTGATCTCGGGGCCATGAGCTTGAGCCCCACATTGGTTATTTAAATAAATAAACATTAAAAACATTACATGACTTTCTCATCAGTCTGGTGCAGAAGCTCCCACTGTCTGTCCAGGTGCCGTGGGCGAGGAGCTACTTTCTCCAGGGCTCCCTAATCCCCATGCACCCACAACGCCATCCCCAGCCCACACCGGAGCTGAAACCCTACTTCCAGAACTGGAGGCTAGTTCTGCCTCCAGTTCTAGACACCTGCCCCACCGGCCTGGAGCCAGCCCCACCCTGGGCCCTGGGATCTAGGAGCCCCGGCACTCCCAGGCACGGTTACCTCCACGATCATCTTCACGGTCGGCAGCGTTGTTGCGATGTTCTGTGGGTGTGGGGGGCGGACGGTTATTGGCACACAGCCTGCGTACAGGCAGCCGTAAAACGCAGCGATGAGGTCTATTCCTACATGGGAGAGGAGCAAAGTTCTCAGTCGACACAGTCAATCGCCATCAGCAGAGGTTCTAGCCCGGGCACGAGACCGCTGCTGATTGTCCTCCGCCCGCAAGCTTTGCTAGGCTTTGGCCGTAACTTCCTGTTGGCCTGTTCCTTTAGGTACGAGGTGCCAAAGCAGCCCACAAGTTTAATTTCTGTCATTTCTCTAAGCAATTACTCAACTCTACGATGATCAGTTTAGTGAAGGGTTTAACGACTATCGATTCAATGAGCTACCTCAATACGTAAGGAGACAGATACAGATGTCTGCGAAATTTCGTCTTATTTATGCCCTCGAGTTGCACAGCATGCACCACCGTCCCCACAAGAGGCTGCAAGCAGCTGTGGCAAGCAACACAGAAGGCAGGGCCAGCAGTCAGCCGGCGCCCGTCCCGCCAGCTCTGGAGCCGGCCCCGTCCTTCACCTGGCGGGTAGACGAGAGCCACGTGGTCCCCGTCCTGCAGGTGTCCTCTCTCCATGAGCATCACGGCGATCTTCTCGGCACGTTTATGCAGCTGCACACACGTTAGCGAGCTTGCTATCGTACCCTGGGGATTGCAAGGACAAGTGGGTGAGGTGTTTTTGAACAGAACAGCTTTATCGAGACAGACTGCAGGTACCAGCCAGTTCCCTTATTTGAAATGCACACTTACGTGGATATTAGTGTGTCTGCACACCTGTCAGTTTTAGCACACTGGCCACCCCCCAGAAGACCCTGTGCCATTAGGGGTCACTTCCCTCTCCCCCCACTGGCCAAGAAGGGCAGCACTGAAGAAGCATCTAGATACACTGTGTTAACAAGAAATATTTTATTTTTTTAAAAGACTTTATTTGTCAGAGAGAGAGAGAGCACAAGCAGGGGGAGCGGCAGAGGGAGAAGCCGACTCTTCGCTGAGCAGGGAGCCCCATGTTGGACTCGATCTCAGGACCCTGAGATCATGACCTGAGCTGAAGGCAGATGCTTCACCGACTGAGCCACCCGGGCACTCTCACAAGAAATATTCTAAAAAATAATTACTTGGGGCACCCGGGTGACTCAGTTGGTGAAGTGTCTGACTCTTGATTTTGGCTCAGGTCACGATCTCAGGGTTGTGGGGTTGAGCCCCGTGTCAGGCATGGAGTCTGCCTGAGATTCTCTCTCCTTCCGCCCCTCCCCCCACTCACATGCTCCCTCTCTCAAATAAAATCTTTTTTAAAAAATAATTACTTGACCTAAAAAATAGCTCAACTTACAAAAAAAAAAGTCAACCTGGTAATTCTGGGACTTCAGTGTAATTGCCAAGGGCAGTAAGACTCAGTGGGGAACGAACAGGAAAATTATACAAATTGAAATTATTTTTAAGAAACACCACATCAAAAGTCAAAGAGGTCTAAAAACAAACAAAACAAAGCTACAGTAAAAACAAAAAACAAAAAACAAAAAACAAACAGTAAAGGGAGAAATGAACTGTCATATTCATTTTATGTAGACTTTTTAAACGTGGAGAAACAAATGGAAAACACATTAAGATCAAAAAAATACCTTAAAGGCACTATTGCAACTTTGTGAGGATCTACAGTTATTTCAAAATCAAGAGTTGAAGAAAATGAAAAAATAGAAACACTGCTCTTCACGATCAAACCCTATTTTAAAGTGATTCTCAGGGTGAAGGGCCTTCCTGCAGTCACGGGCACGGCGGCCCGCAGCGTCCACATACTGAACGCGGCCCGGGCATCGCGACCACGCCGTTGGCTCCGGCAGAGCGAGCCAGAGGTCCAGCGGCAGCAGGAAGAACAGCGAGACACCGCGATTTTTGGGGACTGGATGCAAATGTCACGTGTGGAGAGTCAAGTCTCAAGGGAAGAGTGGTGAGCACACTCGTGTGGAAGGAAGGTAATGCTGAGCGGACAGAAGCAACCAGACCCTGGGGTCCCTTACAGATGGGCAGTGGAGCTCTAGTGATGGAAGATGCTGGGGACACGTTAGAATTCCTGTTAACATGGCCCGTGTGTTAGAAACACCTGCTCTGGGTGGGGGGTGGGATCTGTTACCATCAGGACACAATCACCAGTGCTCCGTGTTTGCCAAAATCATCCACGAGCCAACGGACTGTTGTGTCGAGCTCCAGGAAGCAACACACTCCCCTCACCAATGTCCAAGCAGTGCCCGGGGCCGCAGGGGGCCGCCCGCAGGCTCTGACCCTTTCCCAGCGGCCGGGACTGGCCTCTCCTACGGGGCACAGGGTCCGCTTACGCTTCTCTGAAGTGAATCCTCTTGTCGCACACATTTCCCTTCCTTGTCTCTCTTCTGAGGACGGTTAAAATAGGAGGCGGTGGAAGAGCCACGGCAGAGTGCGGCAAAGCTGGGTACACAGAGACCCAGGAGGCCGGAGCCCAGGGCCTCCAACACTGGACACTCCCTGAGCGTCCACTCCTGGGGACCACACCTGTTCGCCGGAACCAAAATTAACGCACTCCTTGACCCAAATGTCCTTTGAGCAGTTCAAAGTGAAGATGGGCACAGCTGATGGGGGGCCCAGGACCAGCTCCCTCCCTGTGCTGGTGGGGACCATCCCACCCCTCCCATCCTGGGGGACAGCCAGCACCCCCCTCCTGACTGTCAGATGGGGACAGGCGGGTGGTGGTTGTGCCAGTGGACAGCGCTGGTAGAAGGGGCTCATCCTTATGTCCCTGAGGAGCTAGACCCTGCTGTTCTGTCACCGCCCTCTGGCCGCTGGTGCACCTGTCTTATCTCAGGCAGCAAGCGCTCCTGCTCTGGGCGGTTCTACTTCCAGATCTGACCTTCCCACCAGTTTTGGGAGATCCTATGCCCATCCCCCATCAAAGACCAGCTGCTCCATCAGCTCAGAACCAGCAGGCACGAGTGTGTCTGAAAAGATGTGTCAGCCCTGGGGTGTGAAATTCCCACTGATACACTTTAGAAAAGGTGAAATGTAGTTGGTACGCTGCCCTTTATCTTTAGTGACCTCTGAAATGGTTCACAATGCCGCTCGAGGCTTTTTAGCAGGAAAGCCCCCGCCACACAGCAGGCCCTGAGGGCTCATCCAGTTCTGGAGTCAGCGACTGGGCGCCTGGACACCGAAGCTGTTCCTGAGCCGCCCGGAGGGGCTGTGCTGGGACGGGGAGCGCTGGTCCACTGGCAGCCATGCCTGGCCCCAGACTCCCCTGTGGGAGCTCCCGCACGACCTCCCGCTCTAGAGAAACGCTGCCGGTGGGGGCTCTGAACGAGGGGCCACAGATGCGCGTCCCATGAAATGGCAGCCCGTGATGTTGGCCAACGGCTTCTTGGCCCCCCATCAACATCCATGGGAAACGGTGAGGTTTCCATAAAGAGAGGAGAGTCTAGTATAAACCACCTCACCAGAGAAATCAGGGCTGACTTCTAAAGGAAGTTTTGGGTGGAATCATGACAGGACCAACCCCTGTCCTGAGTCAACAAATTTCAGTGTCAAGGACTGTGAATTTAGGCACCACTTTGAAGTGTGACATGAAATTAAATAATAAATGAAAAAACACTAGGAATTAAGAAAAAGCCAAATAGGATTTATATTTTAAAATTCTAGGGGCGCCTGGGTGGCTCAGTCGTTAAGCGTCTGCCTTCGGCTCAGGTCATGATCCCAGGGTCCTGGGATCGAGCCCCACATCGAGTCCCACATCGGGCTCCCTGCTCTGCGGGAAGCCTGCTTCTCCCTCTCCCACTCCCCCTGCTTGTGTTCCCTCTCTCGCTGTGTTTCTCTCTGTCTAATAAATAAAATCTTTAAAGAAATGAAAAAAAAAAATTCTAAAGAAGTTGCTACAAGTAAAAAAAAAAAAAGGTTAAAAAGACTTGGCTGATGTTTCTTTTAAAAAAAAATAACAGATGGTCTTTTGTATGGAAACAAGTTCCAACTCGTAGCTTTCCATGATCTGCAATGAATTAGAGCCCCACTTCCTACTATGCATCTGACAGAACTCTTACTCCACCGAGCGCACTGGCATACTTCGAATGAACCCTGTCTACACCAAACAGGAAACTGCTCTCACTCAAGCCTTATCAAGTCGCCAAAGACACAACCAACAGCATGCCCCTTGCAGGCCGGAGGCCAGCAGGAAAATGCGGGGGGCCACATTTTGGAGTGACAATATTTTGGATCTACGGAGGTCAGCTAAACATTACTAGCACGAATTTCACCAGTTTCTGTCTTTTAAAAATACTGCTTTTAGAAAACACAGAATTATGTGTGTGGCTTGCGCTCCCCTTGTACGGGGCAGTGCTGACCTCAGAGGGTGCTTGAAGCAGAAACTGTGAATAACAACCAAGGAGATGGCGATTCTGACCCTCAGTCCCGGCCGAGCCCTTGTACGTTCTGGGGCGGGCCCCACCCATCAACTGGCTCAGGACGCAGCCACCTGCACATCCAGAGCTGTGTGCAAAGGAAAGCCAGCTGCGCAAAGCACCTTTCTCCATGCTGACCCAAAGTGGATCCACTCACGGCTCTGACCTCCTCCTCACCCCATCCAATTTCCTGTCATCTCTAACGAAGTGGGAGTCATTCCGGTGACTCGTTTTCCCCCAAAAATCCAGCGTCTAGCTACAGCAGATGGCTGTGGCCACAGGGTCAGGGATGGGAATACACATCACTCAGGCCAGAGCTGCTCAGGAGGACCCGGGGTCCGGGCATCACGCCAGGGGACCATCTGAGGGCTGTGCTCTCACGCGGGCACGCCCGTAGTTGGATGTGGTTAGAACAGCTCTGTCTTCCTCCCCTGTTGGGACAGGTCCTCTGTGAACACACCCGCATGACCTCCGAGTCTGTGTGTGTGGCAGAGCTGGTCTCCTACTCCTCCGGCTGCCTGCTTATGGCTCCAGGGCATCCAGGCACAGATCCTCGCCCTCCCTTCTCAACCCTACTGCAAGGAGGACAGAATGTGGGGACTGTGCTGGGGAGGGTTGGGGGTGATGTGGACCTGCCTCTTGCTCTCTGGTGGCTTGAGTCTACAGACAACACCACATCATACCTATCACACCAGCACCACGGCAGCACCTGGGAGGCTAAGCAAAGGGCCTGAGTGCTTGAGTGATGTCCCTCCCGGCGGGGGGCAGAAGACCAGCGTCTCTCTGGGTCATCACTCTGGAGGGGACACTGGAAATCTCTGCAGGGCCACTGAGAGACCACGGAGGAAGAAAAGTCTCCAGGACAAATACCCGGAGGGCAAGGAAAGTCAGAAGAAGAGATTAAAGGGAAATTAGGATGGCACTGCAGAGCTGAGGACCACCAGCAAGGCAGCGGTGTTGGGAAGGCAGGGGAAAGTGGAGTCGTTTCTGTATTTAGGGGCTGAGGACGGAGCTAATGGAGGAAGAGGAGAAAAGCAGGGTAGGCATGCTTCAGGGGCTCGGGCAACTGCACAGATCCTCAGGAGCCCAGATGCAATGCCTCCTTAGCACCATGCGCCTGGGAGCACAGGAGAGTGAATGCAGGGAACAGGTTCCCTCCATACTGCCAGTTATGTGCTTGCCACTGCCTTTCACTCGTCTCTAATCGATTACTGTAAATGGTGAGAGGTGGCTTTGCACAGTAAGATTTTGATATTTTGCAACTCTAAATAGCCGTAACTTCCTACAATCGCACATACCCACACTTGTCAGGAAGACCTAAGGTTAAAATCTACTTGTCAGGCTTTATTTCCACAGCAAAAGAAAAGTTAAGCATATTAAGACTTCTGCATTTGATTTTTATTGTTAATACTGTTTGCGCGCATATTTAAGGTCTTATCCTTAAACTCCACTGTGGAATGATACTGGATGAACTTGCTTTTCCAGCGTGAAATGTCAACATAAACCTTCAGCACGCTTGTAAAACAGAGATGACTTTCATTCGTAAGAAAGTCTGTAACGAAAGCCTCGCTTCCTGTTTACAAAAAAGTAGTTTTCTGATAAAAGTAAAGACAAAAATATCTCATAGGTCTGAACTGTCCCCCATTTTTTGGGGGAAATAGTGCCAAAAGAATTGCTAAAATCATGTGAAAAGGCAACAAATAAATGAGAAGGATGTCACATAACACTGAAGTGAAAGGAACGGAGAGGGAAGAAGAGAAAGCCACCCGAGGGCGACCATGAGATTCGCGTGCAGCGGGCCTCACCCTACAGTTGAGCAGCGTGTACAGGACGTGGTCGGGGGTGGTCTGTGCCCTCCACTGCAGGACCTCCGAGAGGAACAGGAACTGGAACAAAGCACAGCCATTAGCTTCAGGCCGTCCGAACAGACCGCGTTCACACGGACATCCTACCCTCTCAGTGCTGTTAGGGCAGCTCAGAACAGTGTGCTTTCCCACAGAGGAATAAGCACATCCCTGTCAAACAAAATTGGGAGACTAAGTCAGTGCTTATGGGGTTTTTCCTGGATGGCCTGGAAGTCCCTGCGCCTGACTTGGACGCACCAGTTACAGGGAGGTGATGCAGTGCCTGGTCAGGGACGTCTCCCGCCATCTGCCCAGGCTGGGAGAATGGCATTCCCCTTACAGACAGAGCAGCCAACACAGAAAAGCCCTTCTCCTGGGCTCCCAGAAGAGGGTACTTTCTGGGGCTGGAACAGCAGAATCAGATCAACCCTGTTCTTAAAACAGGCTCTCTTCTATTTGCTGTTTTCAGAAGGGTCATTGCCTGAGGTCATTCGACAGCATTGCCAAGCACACAGATCGTGTGCATCACACGGACTCGGTCTATAGCAAAAAAGAGGTCAGCGCCATCTCATGTCCGGTCATAGGAAACACCCAGGTATATCCCTCAATCTATTTTATTAATAGAAATGTACTCTGAGGTGGGATCATGGTGATCCAGTGCTTTCAATGTATGCGATTCTACTTGTTACCAAAGTAGCAATATTTTAAATGGTTGATTTTGTGACATTTCCTGGTAGCTCACACAGACTGGGGTCATCATTTGGAGACTCATCAGAGTCCTCAAGTCTGAGTGGTTGTAACGGGGAGACAAGCTGAGTGATGTGTACGGTGGGTGTGGCCCCAGATTTCTCCTCCAGCCCCTAAGGATGTGTTGAGGATGCCTGGTTCCCCAACCTGGGTTTTGAATTTATGTTTTCTTGTGTCCCAACAATTACAAGACTAAAGCCTTGCACCCAGGTTGCCGTTGAGGCCGTCTGGGCATGAAATCAGGGCTGGTAGGAAGAGGAGAAACAAGAACCACAGAACGCCAGGACGAGACAGGCATCCAGAGACGCTGGCCCCAGGCCTCCGCTTGGGCGTCTGTGCACCCCCAACAGACACATCTTCCTTGTGAGATGACACGGTACGTCTGCTGGACCAAGAGGCCAATGATACACAGGGGACCGGCAGCCAGTGATGCAGTAGCCTGTGGGCATGGGGCTTAGAGAGCAGCCCGGCCTCACGCTCACCTTGCGGGCTTGGTCATTGTCTTCGATCTGGCCCAGGTCTCTGCCACTGGCCTGTGCGATCCTCTTCCCAGACACCAGGTTCCCCACCATCACAGAGGCAGGGCCGATTTCTGGAAAGAACACGAGGAAACAGGTGAACTGACAACAGGACCTCCCACCGTGGTGCAGCGCTCGCCCTGGGGAAACCCTTCCAAAGGCCAGGCTCTGAGAAAGTCTTATCAGAACAGGGTTTCCAAGGTGTCCCAACATGAGAACAATGGCAAACTCGACCAGGTCTCGATTACAGGTCAGAAACAAGGCTTTCGCCAAATCCCGCTGCCGCTGTTCTCCGGTTGGAGGGATGCTGGGCTCTATCCACGTTCGTGTCTGTGGGAAGTAACTCGGAAGACCGACAAGGATTAACACAGACAGACGCGCCTCACTGCCGAGCCGTCAGGGCTCCGGACCATGTGTGCTGCTGGCCGGGGTCGCAGCGGCGGCCGTCCGAGTGGCCATGGACACAAAGTACCGCTCGGGTTTTATAAATACGTCCTGTAACATTAGGAGGAGCACTGCAGAAGGCCCAAACACAGCCACTGTGCATCTCACCGACGGCACGCTCTGGGCTCTCAGCCGGGCCCACGGAGAGGCAGACGACGGAGCCAAGAGGCTCCCATTCCAAGTTCCTTGTACACCATTACGGACTCGGTTACCAACGCTCTTTTCACAGGAGAAAGGCAGATAGAATCTACCCTGATAGCTTTCTTTTCTTTTTCAATGAAAGAAACAAGTTTCTTAAAGAACTGCAGAGACTCTTTCAAAATTTCTAACTACAAGGAACCCTAGGGACCCTCTAGGCTTCACTGTGTTGTCACCACACACACATATACATGGATTGAAGAGGACAGGGTTCGCTGTTCTGGGAGACCGTGCCATTGGGGGAGTGGGCGTGAGACTGAGGCAAGGAGGGGAGGCAGGGAGGGAGCGTAAAGAAGGCAGTAGAAATAACCAAGATGCCAGGAACTGCTGAGTAAAATTCTTATTAAACCTTTACCAAAGGTTGACTCACAGGTTTCAAATTGGGGCATTTGGTGCACTGTGTTATTGCACACAAAGAGCTGTCTCTCAGCAGCTCAGAAAGCTTTAGACGCGGGCTGAGGGGTGGGGCCAGCGGCCGCCAGGCCCCCCCGGGCTCCAGCACACCCTGGCAAGATGAGCAGGGGCAGGGCTGACACCCCCAGGGGACTGTCCAGGGGGAGCAGGCCCCGTTCTTCTCTGCACACACGTGGCCACCCGGACCTGGGCGGCCATAAACTATGCAACATCACAGCGATGCAGGCGAAGGCCGGGGGCTTCCAGGCAGGGCTGAAATCTGGAGACCAGCCCAGGATGCAGATTTCCGGGCCCCTGCCCACGGGCTTCTTCACGTTAGGCAGTCTCTAGGAGCCCTGATACTGGCTTCCGTGTCGTCACAGAACGTGCCTTATATACTCTGCTCCATTATGTCTGAATTGCCGTGTGAACTTTCTTCTCTTAGCTCATAATAAATTCTGAAGGAGGGATAGTGTTTTCATATTTAACAAAGCGAGAGGAAAACGCGGCAGCGTGGTTCATGTGCACTGAACGTGGCTGCCGTGTGGATGGAGCCAGGGCTCGCCTGGGACCCCGCCAATGAGCCCTTCATTTCCTGGCTTGGGGTCTGTGGGTGAAGCGTCCTGAGGTTCTCTTTGGTGACCGAGGTGGACAGGACAGTTCTGGGAAGCCACTCTGGCCTAAAGTGACTTAAAGTATTCTTGGTAATTTTTTAAGAATTCACGTGAGGGTAGAAGCACTCTTCTAAGGTGCTAGCAGGTGGTCCCTCCTTCCTCGATGTTTGTCTCTGCTAGAGTTGTCTGGATGTGAAGCTCGGACCTTACATGTCTCTCCCCCACGTGGACTTAAGAATGATCTTTTTCCAAACATTGCTGGGAGACAGGTGCTTTCCTGTGGTATTATTTACAAAATCTGCTCCCCCCTACCAAGAACCGAGGGTCTCCCTGTCTTGCCGAATGAGGTGGATGGACGTGCAAGACACCCTTACACTCACTGCATCCTGATTTTGAACCCTGGAGCAGGGCTCCTCCTGGTGGATGCAGAACTCAGCGGCTGCCCCTCCCTGTTCCCCTCCTGTGGCTCCCATAGGATGTATCCCAGGGGCTCTTAACCCCCGGTGGTTTTCTCAATGTTTGTAATATTGTTGCAGGCCTGACTGATGGGTTAAAGGTCTTAAAGGTCTTTTAACATTTGTGCTTAGTTAAGAAACTCACATACACAGTGTCGTTAGTTGAGCAAATATGAATCCATCCAGTAAAAGAGTCAATTAGGGTGTCTACAAATTATCTACATTTTAGGGGCTCTGTTTGAAACCTCCAGCAACACCCTCATGGAAAAATGGCCTTACTAAATGTCTGCTTTGGCTCCAAGGAGTACTTGTTCCCAGTCGTGTCTATTCCAAGGGAGCCTTAGAAATCACCTGGTCCAACTCCCTCATTGCACTTAGGGAAACTGAGGCTTTGGGGAAATACCACCTGTCTGAGGTCCATTACAGGTCATCAGCTGAGGGAGGAAAATGGACCAGCACCTCACAGCTGCCATGAGTATTTGTTAAAAACAGCTTTTTTCAGACAGAGAGTTATATAACTTTTCAATATTTAACAAAAACAGATAGGACACCTAATATCATTCTTAAAAAACTGTTTCCTTAAATCAATCGCACAAAGCTTCATTCACCCTGTTGCCGCTGCAATATGCAAGCAGGCCTGCCCTCCCGGCGCATCTGTCTGTGCTTGCTCAAAGGAACAAGGCTGTCCTCGGGCGCCCTGATGCTGCCCTCCGAGCAGAGTGCCTGGGCCTTTTCACTCAGCCCGGTTCTTCTTGTTGAGGATTCCTGACATCTGGCAGGTACACTGAGGCTGGCAGCCCTGGAATCGTATCATGCATTTGCCAATGAGCCCCCACCGTAAATATCTGTCCTGAATTCACAAACTGTGACCCACAGGATTCACGTGAGCTTCTCTGCCCCTGGGACCACTGGTGGTCAGGCCCCAGGGCCGCAGTGTATGATGGTGAGTGAAGGTGATCAGGGGATGGGGAGAGGGCAGTCACCTCTGATTGTGCATAAGGACACCCTGAGGAGCCACCACGATCCATTCCATGCGGACACACACACACCCAGATGGAGCGATTGCTCTCCCCTTCCCATGGCTGTTTATGCCCCAAAATAATGGGAGACTGAAGACGTGACTCTTCATCCTTTCGATATGCCTGCAGAAGGACAATGCTTTGTGTTTTATGGGGGGCTCGCCACTGAATTTAAAGAAATGGACACTTGGTCAGCTGTAACTTTACAGTGTCCTGCAAGGATATAAACCAACGACTGAGAAGAAAGAGAAAAAGGGAAGGTATTAGTTACGGGAATCTGGAATGTAAGGAAACCAGGGACAGCACAGAAATCGGATTAAAACCACAGTGCTAATGTGCCCAGAAAGCAGACAGTGACTGTAGTGTGTCCCGGAGAATCCACTCCTCACGGGAGGAGAGAACAAAATGCTGCCCCATCTAGTTACCACGTGACTGTCTGCATCACAGGGAGTCACAGCAAGGGATGTAGGCCGACACCTGCTCAACGCGAGGGGTGACTTTCCTCCTGTAGCATCAGCATCCTCACCTCAACCACAAAGGACCAGCCACCCTCTCCTCCAATCTCACTTACGGGGCGTGGGCCTCAGTCCCTGCATTTACCACCAAGTGGGCTGAGCCCGTGGTGACCCAACCTCCTCTAGCTGACTCCATAAACTCTGCCCCGCAGCCACGCTGAGCTGGGTGGGACACACGGCTGCTGGGTCAATCCCTGAACCTGTCGCATGTGAAATGGGGACAGAAGAGTGCCCACCACACAGCCTCCGTGAGAAGAGAGGAGTTCATACGTACAACACAGGCAAACCGTGGTTGTGCCAGGAGCTCCCGCTACTGTTCTAGAACACAGCCTGAGTGTGCGCCCCTGCTGCCCGCACCCAGCCACCCCTGCGCACCCCCACCACCCCCACGCACCCCCCCGGGGTGCCCTGGGATTCCCCATCAGCGCGCTGCCAGAAGAGCTGCGTCTTCACCTTCCACAGTCTTGTGATCAATTCCTTTTCACTGTTAAGTGTGTGCAACCCTGAGAAGCACGATCGATTAGTTGCTAGGAAGACAAAGTCAGATAATGGATAATGACATATCCCCAAACCACAAGGTGCTAGACACACATTCGCTCTTAGAACAATGTCACACATACATCTGTAGAATTCCTCACATGCTCCAAGCAGCTTTCCCACACCTTAGCTGCTCCGACTCCTAAATCAGCCACGTGAAACAGGTGTCATTCTAATGTTTGCGCAAGTAAACCGAGGCTGCGAGGTTCTGTGCCTGGAAGAAGGCCCCCCGGCCAGACCAAGGGTTGGTGCTCCCACCGGGGAGGCGGGGGCTCCTTCCCGATGTTCCCCACCTGCCCGGCTCCCCGCACACAGCGCAGTCCCAGCAGAGCCTTGCACTGCACCCTCTGGCGGGGCAGGGTCATGCCCTGGGAGCGTGCAGACCAGGAAAGGAAGAGGGCTGAACACCCCGGACAGGCATAGCGCCTGCTCGCATGGCGCCCACAGCACCCAGTTCCCGAGAGCCACTCAGCCTCCGGCCCACGAGTCCTACCTGGTTGCTTCTGTCGAGGTTTAGGCAAGTTTGTGACACAGGTATGGGGGCACATCAGGACGTTGCAGGGGTGAAGTGAGCCCTCCAGGAAGAGCTGCTTCGTTTCTGACAAGTGGATCCCACCGAGTGGGGTTTTGGGGAGGGTGTTTGCTGGAACCAAGGCTAGGCAATAAACCCCGACTTGATGTATGCTGTCAATCGCCTGGAAAGTCACAGGAGAGGGAACCACGTCAGGACAGGTGTTACAGATGGACACGAAGCAAATGTCCCGACTGAGTAGAGTACAGTCTATAACACGCGAGTGGGGTGCAGATGCCAAGAGAAGGGCTCTCTCTCCAAACCCAGCCAAACTGAATAATCTTATGTGGGATTTGTGGAATACCACACACACACTAGGAAAGGAAATTTGGAGCAAGAAAATACACTCTCAAGATCAGAAGAAAAAACATTACTTGTGACATCTCCAAGTAAATAGGGGGAGCCAGCTTCGCAGACCCCGATCCCTAACCTTGGTCTGCTTAGTTACTGTCCAAGCATGCAATGATAAGTTTCCCAGTTGATACAATTTCTGATCCAGTGGCGTGACGGTCAGGGAGCAGGAAACCACAGTTGTTGAGGGCCGGCCACATCCTAACAGATGGTTAAGGGAAGCTGGCACGAAAGGAGGAGTGGGACTCCCGGGCAGGTGAAGAGCTACCTGGAGCACCCTGCTCATCCACTGGAAGCTGTCCTCCTCCGTGGAGTCCGGCCTCTGCTCGGCCACAATCACGATCCTCTCGTCATGCAGGACGGTCACTGAGAACACGGCTATCCTGTGGGGACGGGAAGGGTACAGCGCAGTGGGCACACGCTGCAGATTGCCGGGAAGTATCGTTCTGCAATCAGGAGCTTATAGCCACTGCTCCAGAACGGGAACCGGGCGAGGAGCAGCCCAGCATCTCCCACCGGGGCTGCCTGCAGCTGATGGTGCCCACGCCGCAGGGCGGGCAGAGAAGCCGGGCCTGCTGAGATCCAGGAAGCCCTACAACCCCCGTCTTGAGTTTGCACCTGCGAGGTCGTATTCTCCACATCAGTAGGGACGTTCTGTTTGGGACGAGTGGGTTTCTGCCGGACGAGCCTGTCTCTCTCGGTAAAGGCGGCATCGTGGGGTTTGGACCCCCATGCCCCTCCTCACACAGAGGCTGCACCTCAACGTGAGTTCTGTCTGTAACACCCAAGTGTCTACTGCTTCTCCGTGCATCAGTCTGACAAGCTGAAATAAGACTCTAAACAGTTCATGACTTCCTTCAAACTAAGCCAAAAACTCAGGAGCTAGCATCACTGATTTAATATGTACTGTGCAAGCGGGCAAGGGAGGGGTGCGTCAGGGAGGGGATGCCGCAGGACTCCGTTTTCCCGCACAATCTGTTGCTCGACTGTTATCTTTCTGTCTTTTGAGATGATCTGCACCAAGATGAATATTTGGCTCTTTCCTTTGTGTATTTACTTTAAAAATAAGCTTTTTAAATAAGTATTTTTACTTAACATAGAGGGGAAGTGATGAAAACATATGTATGGAGCTCAGGAAATTTCTGTAGAACTGGACATTCAGAACTAGTTGGAATATCAGAGGTCATGGAGTCCCACCAGCTTAAGGAATTTGTGCAATTGTATATAAAAAGCGCGGTGTGCAAACCACCGAGTGCTGAATTCACAGAGGGCACACCCACCTTCCTCTGTAGACGAATTTCATGGGCTCCACGGCCAGTGCCGTGGCAACGATATCATCTGCATTGTGTCTGCGTCCACTGACCACCATGAGCCCGTCCATCTTGCCCACCACGAAGACGAGCCCCCCAGGGCCGACGAAGCCCAGCAGGCCTGTCCTTACGAAGGGGTACTCACTGACAGGGGCCCCCGAGCTCGTCACGGGAAATACCTGCAGACACACGAGCTGTGAGTGCCGGGGGGTGGTGCTCAGCCCACCTTCATCCTCCCCTGGAGCCGACCGGACCACGTTAGTCTAGCAGCATCTCCTCGCGGAAGGCACTGCCCCTGTCCCCCGCCCCCCAACTTCTGTCCCCCACTGCCCACATGCAGGGCTGCCCGCCGGTTTCCTTCCAGGGCTTCTGAACCTAAGAAGTGATACCAGAGATCATTATGATAGCCTAATGAACACTAATTAATTCTTCTGTTTTAGATCCACAGCATCAAAGTGATAAATGGAAAACTGAACACGTTTATCAGTTGAAAATGATCCCTGTTCATCAATGCTTCCCTATCAGGATGACACCAGGAAGGAAACACACAAAGGAAGCAAATCTCAGTGCCCCGAGCCTGTACCCGGTCCTCAGACCCTGCAGGTAAGTCACACAGAAGGGGAGATGGGCTTCATGCAGACTCTGTCTAGCTGGGCTTCAGGGACATTTTAGAAACTCGAATCCACACTCAGCAAAGGTGCCTGCGCAAGACACCCCATTACATCATGTTCTAAACTGTAAGAGACGAATCCCCAAACGACCCTCATTTCTCGTGCGTGATGTAATCCACGTGTGCTCCTCCTAAGGTAAGGCACCACGTGGGCAGGTGAGGCGTCAACTCCAGGGGCATGGCGGTGCGGCACGGAGCTCCCTGCGGAACCACGCGTGTGCGAGGCCGCTGCGGGCACTAAGCGCAGGCCCCACACGCATGCGGGCACTTCGCACACACGCCAGCTCCTGCTATGTGCATCTGTTCACACTGCCAAGTCCGGCCTCGGCGGACAGGCCACAGGGGGCCCCAGTGAGGCCGAGACAGGTGTGCTCGGCCTCCGTCCCTCGGCCTCTCGACTGAGAACAGCAACATATAAAACACGGCCCCTTTTAAAGAAACGATTCTTGCCCTTTTCCCACACAGCTCCGACAAGCCAAATTTACTGAAAATTATACAACTGGCAGCAAAAAGTGCGACCATTTTAGTTATGATGAATATGTGTTATCGAGATACTGCCACCTTCTCTTTACGTCTGCACACCTGTGAGGGCCACCTGCAGAGCACACCTGGAGGGAGCGCGCCCCTCAAACCTACCTCGAAGGTGTTCTTGGTCATGCCCGAGAGGCCGTAATAGGACGTGCCTGTTGCAATGGCACACACACAGAGCTCCCCGATTTCATCTGTTCGACAAAGTTGAGGGATGCCATCCGGCTTCACTGAACACATGATGGCTGGAAGCAAAACAGGACACACGGGTCATGTTAGAGAGAGGGACAGACGGTGAGGGCGACAGACAGAGGGACGGAGGGAGAGGGAGACAGACAGAGGGACGGAGGGAGGGGGAGGCAGACAGACAGAGGGGTGGACGGTGAGGGCGACAGACAGAGGGACGGGGGTGAGGGAGACAGACAGGGATGGACGGTGAGGGAGACAGACAGAGGGACGGGGGGACAGAGACACAGAGAGACAGGGATGGACAGGGGGACAAGGAATAAATGACCGAGTAGGAGTGAGAGCAGGTGAACAGGAAACAGCATCTGGAACACAACTGCGAATATACAAGTGGGCCGGGTACTCATTTTCCCTGAAGTGAGTCACGGATTTTCATGTTATAGGAAAATGTCCAGTTCCATTGTTGTGACGTCAGTGAATAACTGACGTGTGGATCGTATTTTTTTTTTAAAGATTTTTATTTATTTATTTATTTATTTA